TTTATTTTTCTTGTTTTCTCTTTCTTCTTCTGCGATGCCTGTTGTATGAAGTGTCCCCTTACCACCGCCTTGCTTGCTTCCCAGGTTTCATTCAAACTGTTAGAGCCTTTGATGTATAGTGGCCCTAAGGTCACCATACATCAATATGATTTATGCAAGTGTTGCCCCCCTCCCATTCAAGGCTTCATTCTGAGTGATACAAGGATGGGGTGGCCCCTTCCAATAAAAATACATTAGTTGACATACAACCAATGGAGCACAAAGGAAAGCCAGAATGTTGTGTCGCACACCAAAGGACTGGCATGCCTTGCCTTTAAGTATCTCTCAAGTAACACTGACCAATTAGATTGGACGGGATTGAAACGGGGCTGGAGCACTGACGTTCCGCATCTTCAGTTAAGACTGATATAAAGTTGCAGCGACCCCAAACATCGCACAGTTGCTTCCTTGACTGTACAGGATTCCAGATTGCTTTGCCATGTTCCAATTTTTCTTTCTAAATCTTTTAACTATGTGGTGCACAGGTAGGAGGAGCGGGCACGCTGGTCAACACCAGCAAGGCTACACAGGGTGCCACCAGTGTAACCATTTATTTGCTTGCTTCCTCTCTAGGTGCCGATTCTCAGCCTGTGCTGTCTCAACCCCCGCTGGCCTCCATGTCACTAGGTTCCACTGTCAAACTCTCCTGTGCGTGGAGCAGTGGGTTCGTTGTCACCGGATACCATATGGCTTGGTACCAGCAGAAGCCTGGACATTCTCTGTGGTTCCTTTTACAGTATCTCTCAGATACCAGCAAGGGCCAAGGAGCTGGGGTTCCTTCTCGTTTCTCTGGATCCAAAGACCCATTGAGCAATACTGGCTATCTAACCATCACAGGAGTCCTGGCAGAAGACGAGGCTGATTATTACTGTGGAACATTCCATGCCAATAGTAATACATGCCACAGTAATGTGCTCTGAGGGGGAAGTAATACAATAACCTGTACTCTTTTTTCTCAAGGGAATCTGAACCGGCTTCGAGCTATTCAACAAGAGGTGGACACCTGCGCAGAAGATAGAATAATGTTTACTGCAAATCCCACCATTTGGGGGAGCACTTGGTCTATACTAGAGAGTCATACAACCTTGCTGAGATGAAAGAGCAGCAGTGGCATATGTTGTTGTGTGCCTTCAAGTCGTGTCTGACATATGACAACCCTAAGGCAAATCTATCCCAGGGCTTTCTTGGTAAGATGTGTTCAGAAGTAGGCTTTGCTTTACTGAGACCAAGAGACTTGGTGACTTTCCATGATCCAAACCTTGGTCTCCAGAGCTGTAGTCCTATGCTCAAAACCACTGCACCATGCTGGCTCTCGAGCCGTTATGTCTAACATCATTTCATGTTTTGAAAATGAAAACGCATGAAGATTTCTAAAGAAGGCTGAATGGGCCCCACCCTCATTTCTTCCCCTCCACTCACCATCCCTATTGCTGCATTTCAATGCATAGATTTTCTCTAGGGATGTCATTCTTCACTAGGTTTCTTCTCAAAGGAAGCAACAAGTAATTTTAGCCTTTGTCTTCTTGCCACAAGCACATCTTGTCAAGATTATTCACTATTTGGGGCTTATTCGGCACAACATTCACTTTTCATTTCAGCCCACGGAACCTGCGTTGTCAGTGCCAAAAATAATAGTTCCAGATAAATCCGAACTGTGGAGAGTCTTCAAAAAAATATAAGTTTTAAACGAGTTTCTCATGGTGAGGAGAAAAATGGCAAAGTCATCATCATCATTCTGAATAAAAATTAAATAAATTAAATACAATTGTTCATTCTTACTAGGGCAACCAAATGTATGAAGATGTGACTCCCTAGCAAAGGATCAAGGGAGCTTCCAGAATATTCTATTTTTTAAGGACATTCAAGTGATTTACCCACTAGAAACTGGATATATAAACACTTTGCACAACATCACAGCGAAAAGTGTCTGTGACCTGAAACCATGTACTTGAGAGCATTCTCTCCCACAATTCACTATGCTGAAATTATATACTTGCTTACTATAAATTATCAACACCTTAAAGAAAACACCCATTTTCCTTTAATTTTCAAATTTGCCCAGATTACAAGGTTCATTATGGATTTGAAGATTCTTTCCCGTTCCTACACTGTAGGCAGGCATGTAGCCGGGGGGGGGGGGGCTTGGGGGGCTTCAGCCACCCCCGAAATTCTCATGGTGGGCCGCGAGAAGGCCTTACTGGTACATTATTTAAACTGTTATGTTTATTCATATCATGATCTGATCACCATGCTCAATATATCCCATATGCATGGGGGTATTGGGGTAACAATACAAAAGGTTTGCTAGGGTAGACCCTCTTTCACTCAGACTCAGCCCCCCCCCGAACCAAACTCAGCCCCCCACCCCAAAAAAAAATCCTGGCTACGGGCCTGACTGTAGGGAGCTCAATAGCCGGAATGGAAGCGATTGTAGATTTTAGAAGTACGTCTTCATTGTACATCAGGCTGTACATTCAGTTGATGTAGACAGAAGGATCATGAAACTTGGGGTCAAGCCCTATCGACCAATCAGCCTCCTTAACACTATCAGCAAGCTATATGCTAGACATCTCCAATGGAAACTCCAAGATTGGTTGGAACAATTAAGCATATTAGCTGAGGAGCAAGCTGGATTCAGGGAAGGTCGATCCACCATAGATCAGTGCCTAGTGCTGCAACACCTTGTGGAAAAATATTCCTCCCAAAACATAACCTCACTATATGCTGCTTTTATTGACTTTAAAGCAGCATTTGATTTCATCTCGCGAGTTAAACTTTGGGAAAAACTGAAGAGTTCTACAATTGATTGCCGTCTATTATATCTAATACGCCAACTTCATGAAAAGACCACACTCAAAGTAAGATGCAACCCACAGGGCCACCTCACTGAGGCTGTTGAAACATGCAAGGGTGTCAAGCAAGGCTGCATCCTGGCCCCTTTGCTGTTCAATTTCTATATAAACTCCATAGTGGACCAGCTTCAAAACATGGACTTCCACCCCCCAAAGCTGGTGGGAAGACACATCTCCATCCTGCTTTATGCAGATGATGCTGCTGTGCTCTCTAGAACACCCATTGGGCTCAAAAGAGCTCTGAGAGCATTAATACAACATTGCAACACAGATCAGCTCCAACTTAATTACAATAAAACCAAAATCATGGCTTTCGCTAATAGGCCCAGGACTTACTCTTGGAGCATAGATGGTCATAAAATTGAACAAGTTACATCCTTCAAATATCTAGGTGTAGTTTTCCAATCTAATGGTAGCAAAAGAGCTCATGGGGATCAAGTAGCCAACACCGCGCAGGGGAGCTCAATTGCCATTTAAAATATCTTAAGACAAGAGGGGGCCACTTCACACCGGCAGCGCTCAAGCTGTTTGAAGCCAAGTCATTAGCCCAACTCTTGTATGGTGCTCAGCTGGGCCCCTTCCCCAGTTTTGCCCCATTAGAGGTGGTTCAGTCCAAGTTTCTGAGATCGGCCTTGCAGGTCCCTAAATGCGTTTCTAATGCCATCCTGCGACTAGAGACGGGTTTTATGAGAGTGGAGGCCAGGGTATGGATGGCCATACTCAACCTCTGGCTCAGACTGTCCCATGCACCCCTTGGCCTTGCCCCACTAACCATGGAGGATGACTTCCAATCCACATGGAAGCAGGCGGTAGCATCCAAAATCTCCTCGTTGAGATTTTCTCCAGGTCTACTATTAGCTATGGATTACAATCAAACCAAAGCACTTATTAAACAACGTACCACAGACACAGAGCGCCAACTAGATCTGGCCTCGGCTCCAACCTTCCTTATCAGTGAAGACAGCAGATACCT